CTCCCGGAACGATTGGTAGTGTAGTGCGTGTGTGAGTGTAAGTAAGGGGTGAGGATAGGACAAAGACGAGGAAGGAAACACTGCGCGCAATCCACAGTCCGTTTGTTAGGGTACTGCCCCGGCATTGACTTGGTGTTGATCGACGAAACCATGGAAAACTACTGATAAAGACAGCCGGCCGCTAACATTCTCCTCCAGGCAGCAGCTGAACTCGGCCTAGCTTCGTAGCTGGCGTAAAAAATGCTGCCGCCGCCAGACTCGAACGCTAGGACCTCCCGGCAAAAGGCACTGCAGCGACATCAGTTGACGCCGCAAGTCTCATCTGCCGGTAAATCTCCATGTTGTATCATATTTCGAATGAAATTATAACGAGTGCAAACAATTATATATCGTTACTATGAAATAATACTACAACAAACGCATTCAGCGTATTGAATTTGTCGTTTCATCCAGTTATTAGTAGGATTAGCCAGTTTTTCCCTCGCCCGAACCTCAATAATAGTGTACTCATTCTTGTCAATCACCATTGCCTTCATCTTTCTATAGCCACTCTCAATGCCAACGTTTCTCCACTGGCTGTGTCGTCAGCATGCCCTCTCCAATGTCGCAAATCACGCACTGAGCCATACCGATCCGCCGTATTTGGCGGCGTCCTGGCAGAAGCGGCGAGCGGCGCCAGCGCCGGCGGGGGCGGGGGCGGGGGCGGCCCCGAACGGCCCTGACCTGCGCAACGGAGCTTCGCGGAATGCCCCGCCGCGCCGTCGCGCCTCCGCCGTCACACATCGCTTCCTCCGCTCTGTCCATCGTTAATCAAAGAGGTAACCACACCTTTTACCGTCCTGAATGCATTTGGCAATTGGCCGCATATCTCTTTCGGGAAAATACAACGAAAACAAAATCATACAAACGCTGGTCCGAATAACAGAGCTCGCTAAGGCTGAAGAGCTGTAGCTCAGCTTTTGATTGCTATGAGGGCCTTACTGACTTCTCTTGTTGTTATTTGCAGAGCATTTTTCTCAGTTTCTTGAGTTTTATATGAAATGTTCCTATACTATGTTCTATTCTCAGTCTGTAGATCTTCGAAATAGCTTTTCCATTTTTTGTCAGGCTCATTGGGTCCACTTTCCAATGCCTTTTTTTATTCTTCCGGTCTGTACAGACACATTTTCATGCTTCACTTGACCCTCTCTTGACTCCCCATTAATTATTGGTGTTGTGTATTGGTACTGTGGTGAGTTTTTGTTGGGATTTACAATGGAATAACTATGAGTAGTCATTGCCAACAATAATTTACACTAATACTTTGAACTACGTATAATTGGTATTTAAACCTTGTTGAAGCATCCTGAAGCTAACATACATTAAACACATTCTGTTTGTGAATACTATTTTCTTGTCTATGATCTTCATCCCGAAAATTTACATATAAACAGGACAGAGGATCTTAATAGAAAGTTATCTGAGCCAGAATCTGCTCCTCTATATACCCTTGTACCTAGAATTTTAGATTTCGTTTGCTGTTTTATCTCAACGTTATCTGTAATTGACGGTAAATTTCTTCTTGGTTGAAACCATGTTTTTTTGTGTATATCCTGATGTTGATAGAAACCATTTGTTATACGGAGAGAGAACTGATTACAGATTTCAATAAGACGTTCTCCGTTATCATTGGGAGTATCGTCCCCATGAAGTCCCACTATCTTATCGCCTACTTTTTTTATCAGTTCGTGCATTAAAGTCGCCCATCATAAAAATTTCATTCCAGTCACTAATTTCATATAATGTCGTTGTCAATTCCCGCATCCTTTTTTGTTATTTAAGTTCGCATCAACTTCTACTATTGCGAGTAACGGTATGGTAACTATGGTGATGATGATAGGGGGTGAAAGGACGAACACAATTCACCATGCCCGAGGCAGGACTCGAACCTGCGATCCTTCGGTCCGAGATCGCTACGGCACTGCTGCCTTAGCGATCTTGGCCATCCGGACCGGCAATTTCCACATTACAACATCTTTAAGTTCTGCATTAGCATCATTAGCTGAGGGAACACTCCTACAATTACTACACGTAGACTAAATAATTTTAGTTCTCCTTTACTTTTCTGGAAGACATAACTTCCCAATTTGTAATGTACTTGTTATGGACTGCGATACAAAGACGACATTTCGCTCTCTGATTTGTATCTACCCACTTTAGAAATGAATATTTCGGTCTTCGATTTCACTTCCCTGTCCTTTGTTTTTTTGTTTCAGTGAGGACTGCCATCCAGATGTAATCTGCTTAACTCTAAAGACTTGAAGGCATTTTCTGTTAATGCCTTGTACATTCTAAATTGCATGTCCTTTTTCGAATGTCTTGTCGTTTGTATTTCAAGTCCGGCTTTGTCCATTGATTAGGCATTTTAGCATTGATATATTGTTTTGGGAGATGAGGATCTGGCCAGACTCTCTATTATTCAACATTAGATCTTTAAATGAGAGCATGTACGATTTTTTAACATTATGCATTGTTTTCGCATAACTTAGCGTGTACTAAAGGCAATTTTAAAACAAGATTTTCTCAAAAACGGGTCCATTTTTTTCTTTATTTTTCTCTCAGATAATAGGAAGTATGCCTGTAAAAATGGTGCAGGTCTGAGTTTCAGCTAAGCTATTTTTATGATCATAATAATAATAATTTTATTATTGCTATTATTATTTACTCAGATTTACGATTCACAGAATAATAATTTCTGATCGTGTGCGGGGGTTTTCAATGAGAAGAGAGAATGGTTGAGAGAATAGATGGATCCAACACTTTACTCACTACTGGACCTCTTATAATCCTCGGCAGAATTTCAATCCCAATTCCTTTCATGTCCGAATACTGTGTAAGCTTGTGCAGTCACTTTCTAGAGGGACTGGAATTAAATTAAAATTTGTTCTCATCTTCGAATTCTGTGGATATGAACAGCGATTAAATACTACACTAAATTAGATCCTGTGCTCAACCAAGTGTCCGAAAAGGTCATCTAGTCCTCTTTCAAACAGTTCACTTCGACCTTCAGGGTAGTGTCAGGAAAAGAGCAATTCAGTTTAGCGCTAATTACGGTCCTGGAAATCAAGTGTGCCATTTTATAGTCGCTAAAAAATCATTCAGTATACAGAATTGGGAGTTTTAAAATTTTATAACAAAAGATGACAGACATTTTTTTCAATTAATAACCTACTGTTGAAGCCACTCTGATGTATCGAGAGGGAAAGTGCTCTATTAGTGAACACTCTAAGTTCAGTAGTCATGAATGTACTTTATTAGAAAGTAATGTCTTATTTTTTAAGAATGATACGATTTTTACCGAAAAATGTTGAATATTAATGAATATTATTGAATAACGTTTTGAAGGATAGAAGAAACTAATCAAGTGCACGGCAAAAGCATTCGCCTTGTTCCTTTGTAGAGTCGCATTTCTAACCCGCGGCGACGGCGATCACAGTAAAGCCGATTTCGTCTGAATTTTCGACCCAAATCGACGCCACTGTGGCCGCCACAAAAACGTTGTACTCCCACGAACGCGCAGTTTCAGGGACCCTCCGCATTCACATTTTGAAGAGAAAGTTTGGGTTGATGACGTAGCTTCCGCGGCCAGAGCCATGATCTGGGCTGTCCGGGTGACGCCGCGTCAGCTGAGATGCCGACGCTTCGGCCGACATATCGCTTCAGGGCTGTACTGCGCAAGGATGTTGGGCGCTCTGGTTTACATAGTTTGGGCTCCCGCCACCTTAAGCTGGACCCGTCCTTCCTTCGCCCGTCTTCGCTCGGCGGCGCCGCTCCGGTCACTTCGCGCGCAGGGCGCGGCGCGGGGTGGAGGGGAGGGGCGGGGCGCGTTGCCTTGAGCCGCTCTCCGACGGCGGCGGCGGTGGCGGCGAGTCGCCGAGGCCGCTGCGGGCGACGCTGGACCCTGCGATTACACGCGATTGGCGGCGCCGGCGCCCGCCGCCCACGCCCCCGCTCCTCTGCGGTTTATTTCGAGGCGCCCCCCCCCGCCCTCCGCCCCAAGGCCGGTCCGCATGCGATCGTGAGTAAGGGAGCCAGCAACCCGTATACGGCCGCGTCGAGGATTCCCCTCCGAGGCGAACTCCCGGTCTATATTTGGGACTCTCACTCCAGCGCATCGGGGCGCTAGGGAGCCAAGAGCAAAATAAGAGGTGGCTCGGAGTCCCTGCTGAATTGTAGGCATTAGAACTGAAATGAGGGTGCAATTTATTACAGTCATAACAAAGAGAAAATGTTGTTTCCACGTTTCGGCAATTCGTGGATTAAAATGATCATGAAACAGATACAACATTAGAGAAGTCATTAGATACAAGTAAAAGAAGTTGAAGGTGAAAAAATGTGTCAGACTCAGAATTCCAAACTCATTAGGAAGTTCTATGTACGAAAAGCGAAATGAAACATTAAATTCACTTACGGTAAATTCAGTTCAATCCACTAGTATTTTTAAATCTTATGTATTTCTTAGCTATCCATAGATCGACAACTTTCCAACATAGTATCGGTAAATCATAATCGTAAACTTCGCCTTGACTCTGGAACAACTTTAGCTCGAAAATTCTTCCACATCAAATTTGTTTCATGATGCGACAGAACGATGATTTACAAATAAAAAAACAACAACTGGATTTTCTACATCACATGAACCTAGCACTTTAAGATAGATTCAAATTTCTCAAACAAATTGATCTATTGGTGAATTCAGTATCAATTTGTTTGTGACTTCACTATTTCATAAAATAGCATATGATTCATACCAGAGATTCTCGCGCATGCTCTTTGTCTCTGCTTCGCTATGGTACAAAAACAACTTCTTTTCCTTCTAATTCTTCAGCCCTGAGTCTTTTTAGTGTAATTTGAATAGTTTTGAAATAGATCAGATAACTGATACCATTCATTAATTTGAAATTATGACATCCGGTGTGATCATATCACACTGTCTTTCACATGAGTCAAATTAAACTCACCTGAATATTGGACGACATAAGCAATTTCATTTTGCACGTCACGAATTTCACTACAACCAAAATCAATTTGGTCTCTTTGAATATATATAATACCTCTCCAATGTGGCTTGTTTTTTATAACCTAAAAATGCTAACAGAAACCCAATAGCCCTACGTAAATTTCAAAACAAAACACTAGTTACACCAGTAATAGAGTAATTATATTTCAGACTTTTAACCCTTCCTACTCTAGGCAAGAAATGTATGATCATGAATTAGGCAAACTATAAGAACAAGCACAAGTTGCATTTCAAAGCCCTCTTTGAGCCATGTTTGTAAAAGTGAGACAGAGGAAAAGCAACGCAGATGTTCCTGAACCACAATCGCTAGTCATCCCGAATCTGAATCTTCCATGTGAACAGTGTAAACATCTCGACAGTTCTTGCTGTTTGAATGGGAGCAGACAGGTTTGTTAGTTTTGCACAAACCCGATATTCCAGCTCAACGAAGAAATTTTAGAACTTCAAAATCTGCAGCGAGGTAAGATATATTTGTTGGTGTCCATTTTTACGTAGATACATGTAAGGAAGTAATAACCTGAAATAAATAACAGTGTTTTATGTCGTCATAAAACACAGAAAAAAGCTGGCTTACTTGAGAGGAAAATTTACTTAAAATGGATGTTCTAGAACTGCGAAACACCGACAATGGAAAATAAATTTCGAATCGCAATATATTCATGAATAGTGTACGATGTTGAAATAGACAAATCCACTCAGAACGAAATAACACTGGATTAGTAAGTAATACTTATTGAATATGAATATCTACTTTTTATGTGATCAAAACTTGCTACATCAACGAATAGTGTTCAACTGCACAGGTAAAGGATGGAATGTTTTTGAGGACGAGTGGTGCCTAATCCTTTGCCAGAGCTATTATACATATTTCTGGTCCTCTAACGACAGCTACCACCATCAGTTTTCTCCTAGAACCCGTAGTGGGTCTACCAGTTTTGTATACATACTAATGCATTTAATTTTTCAATTTTTCACCGCAATTTTGTGAAAGGTCTCTTTCCATAACACGACCAATAGCCAAAATGATGTTGTTTTTACCTTTTTGAAAGCAAAAGTCCATGTTGAACGAAAAACCCACAATGTTTTCACTTACGATAATAAACAAAAACTGCAAAAACAAGCAATAACGATGAAAGGAAAACTCAAAAAGCAAAAAAACAAAAACAAGAATAAAAGGTTACGGAAAAACCAGCTGAGAAACAATGCCACTCCATTTGAGGCGTTTTCCGCCTTCTGTGAACGCGTGCAGTTGGCGTTGCACGGAAGCACGCACGGTGGCGCGCTCGCGGGCGGAGGCGGCGGCGGTCAGGGGCGCGCGACCGCCGAGTGCGCAGCGCCGCGCCGCGGGCAGGCCTTGACATTTTATGACGCGCCGCCGCCGCGCGCGCGAGCGGCCGATAACCCCGCGCGGAGGTGCGTGCTCACGCGCGCGCGCGCCGGAGGCTGCGAGTTCGAGGCGGAGTGCGTGCGCGGCTGCCCCGCGCGAGCGGCCGCCATGACGGGCCAATCGGCATTGAAGGGTCCAGCAAATCTCTTTTACTGCTCCAGCGATTCAATGTCTCTGTTTTTGGCATTAGACAATGGGATAATGACATTGGAGAAACGTATTTATACAAGTCTTTTCTGAGAATTATGAACATTTACATTTTAAGTATGCCTTGATGACCTGAATCGTATAGATGAGAAATGTCCCAATTCGCTTCTCACTTCCTTCATTTGGTTTCAAAGGTTTCGTTCGTGAACATTCGAGTTGGAAGTACGATAATATAAAGAAAACAACGTATTAATCTCTTTTTTTCTAGTTACATGTTTTTCTTTCATAGGAAAGAAAACTATTTCGAATTATTTGCGGATTTTCCAATTTGTCGAGGGGTGAAATAACGATCCTATTACGAAACGAATATTTAACACTGCATAATAGAACTTGTTCGAACCCGACAAAATAGACAAGTCACTAAAACCAATAAAACTTCTAGAACTCGTGAGTCAAAATACCACGTTCAAAATAGAATACTTCATTCGGGGAATTGTGATGAGTTCGCGATTTTGCTCAGCAATGTAATTTAATTCAAATGCAGCAAACATCACGCCTCTCGGGTGGCCCATCGACAACGTGCTAGCTCTCTCTGAGGCGGTCCCAGGTTCGATTTCCGGCTGGGGCAAGAATGAAGCTGTAGCTTTATAATACAAATCATCGCTGTCTGACGAAAGGAAAATGTAAGGCAGGCCAAGAAGCTCGCCACAGTCGCGTTTACTCCCAGGCGTGGATAATAAATAAAAACAGGGTCCTGGCCTGGGAACAACGTAGCAGGCAAAAGTCGCATTAATCCGACCCTAAAATGTCTTTACTAAAAGCCTCATACAGGGACCACTATTCAGATTTGGGTTGATTCGAATGAGATAACAAAAACATGTTCATGGAAAGAAAAAGCTTTCATTTTGAGTTGGTTGTACCGCTTGAACAAAACAAACTGAATAACGCCTCATACTTCAGGCGTTTTTTTATTTGTTTTACATATGACTTAAAGTGAACAGAAATTCTCAAAATAGTTCACGTGGCAAGAGGTTTACATTTAGTTGCGTTATTTATTACTCATTATCTTATTCCATACACAATACGAACGAATCAATAATGTAAAACATATGCATATTCATAAACAAAATAAACAACAAGAAAGCAACAATATAATACATTAATGTCTTCTGGTATTGAATGGAACTAAATCTTTTAAATAAGTCGATATCTCAATGATGTGTATCCACAGAAACGGAGGCAGTATACTCTCTATTCACTCAGGCAGATAAGAGTATTTTGTTTGCTAGACCGAAGGTTAGGAACAAGAAACTATGGGTTTAACTGCACTCCATAACAAAAACATCTCAAATCATGGGTCTTCTTATCAAATTGTGATTTAGAAGGGTCTACCTTTCAACCTAACAATTATTGTTTTCATAGAGAACACTTCTTTTCTGCTCACATGAACAACCTCAAAGAAGTCTCTTGAGTTGCCAAGAATGTTATTTTTCAGTGCACTTAAAGGTTATCGAGCACTAAACGAACCGTGTAAATATCTATCGCAGTTCGTAATATTTCTGGGAAGGTCTCTTCAAATCCTGTTTACTGCCAAGACATTTTCGAGATAATGACATACACTCTTTTAGAGTTTATTACATTGCCCTAGATCTTAAAACGTCGTAGACTTCTTGTTCTCGTTAGTTTCAAGGGATTTGCTTATGAAAATTCAAATTACTAGCAAGAGTTGTAGCGAAACATTTTCTCAATGAAGCATAAACTTCACTGGCATAAAAGATAAAAAAGGAATTCATAGTACGTATAATGATGGACAGTAAAACCCAAAAAAGAAAATATAAAGAAGACGGGAATAAAGAGAAAACTTATGTCGAGAATATGTAGGTTTATAAAATAATATTTCGGTCACCGCTTAACACACCGCTGCCAGTTCGTCGAAGAACGCATCCCTTCTCATAGCGAAATTCATTGACGGCAGCACGTCGCTTCTCTGGCCACTCTCACGCGAAACGGAGCCGAATGGAGAGATCGCGACCTCCGAGCCACCCCGACGCGTCTGTCCGCCCCATCTGTCGCGGCGCGGCGCCTCCGGCTAGCTTGCTCGCCGCTCGCTTTCGCCGGCGCGGCGTCGCCGGCGTCGCCGGCGTCCGCCCCTCGTGAAAGTGGCCATGAGCTCCTCCGGAGTCGAATGACGCACCAGCGTTAGGCCCATGGACGTCCAAAGAGGAAAATGAAGTAAAAAACGATAACACAAAATCGATCACCAGTGTCTGCTCTAGCCAGACTGCAGAAATATTCAGAACGATTGAAGCCACTGAGATTATTTCACCCAATACAACTGATAGATTGTAGAACTCTTTAATAATAACGATCGTATAATGTTACAGCCGTCAACGTTGCTTCTTTTAAATACAATCATTTGATTTTCTAATTTCGACAGTAAACCTTATAAGGATACGTATTCGTAATATGTGCATAGTCGATTAATCTATTTCAAAGAGAATCTGTATTCAATACGGACGTATTTCCTTGAATGCCGTAAACTTGTAAGGTTCGAAAAAGGAAACGAGATGTCTCAAGACTTCCCGATAAGCAACACAGGATATATTTTAAGAACAAACGTAACGCTTTCAGTCTACCTGTCCCTAGACAATCGATGAATACGGAAACGCGTTTGCTCTCAATGACAGGTTTACACAGTCTCGATCTCAATATCTTCTAACGTCCAGGATGTACTTGGTTGCACTTTCCAGGCGCCCCACATAATGTCCGTTCGTGAAGATATACTTCTATTTATTCACTATCCTCTGACAGATCATCAGCTGTTCCTATGTCATCCAATCGGGAGCTTAACCATCACCAAAGAGACGTCACTGCAGAGACGGTCAAGCTCCCGTTGGGTGGCACCATCACAGTTGATTTACGTCAAATGACTCTGCGTTTAAATCGAAATATAAGGATCGTTCCAAAAGAAAAGTCGCTCTTTGCCAAGAGTCAAGAAACTCTGAAGTTGGTGCGGCTCCACTTGCCGCGGGCCGAGCGCGCGCACCTCTCCCGAGACGCGGCGGCGGGAGGCCAGGGCGGCGATCCGTCACCCGGACAGGAGCAAGTGCATCTCGTTAAGCCGCCGTCGACCGCGACAAATGCGCCGTCGTCGAGACGCAAACATATGCGTCTTCATCAGCGCCCGAAGCGCGCCCCGGCGCCGGCGCGGCCGCCCCGAGCCCTAGACGCTCCGGTTTGCGCCCGATGACAAATTTTTCTGACCTCTCGTGCGTTACGAACGCGCCCGGAATAGGCTCCGCCTGCCAAGTGTCGTCCGATAGTTTCCTTTCGGCTGGCTCTCCCGTGCCGGGAACGGTGGGTGTATTGTTGTGTTGGATATGACTGACGTTCTGACCCCATTTGTCTATTGCAACCTATTATAATAAAGTTTGTAA